TTTTTTTTTTTTGCGCGTCCTACCGCGCCGGTAGGACGACACCGTGCGTGTCCGGCCTCGCCGGTAGGACGCCACCGTGCGCGTCCGGCCTCGCCGGTAGGACGCCACCGTGCACGTCCGACCTCGCTGGTAGGACGCGCCAAAATAAATAAAATAAATATTAAAAATTATTTACAAAGAAAAAAAAAAATAAAAAAAAATACATGGTCAATCTTCAATCTCTTGCCGATGTCATGGTATTTTTTGGCATTTTTTCAATTTTTTTTACGGTCAAAAGAGCCGTAGAAAATCGAGAGAGAAAGAGTAAAAAGAAAAAGTAGAGAGAGAGAGTAGTGAAGGGCAAAAACGTCCAAATGGACAGTGACTAGTAATAAGCAGTGTTCTAAAAGTCGCTAGGCGCCCGACCAGCGCCTAGCGCCTAGAGCGCCTCGGCGATGCCTAGGCGGCGCCTAGAAATCAATATTAAATACTTTATTTTTTATTTATCTAACTACTTACAAAATAAAACTATTTCAACTTATAATAAATCAACACATCTAAGTCCAAATAATAATATTAATATATTTTAAAGAAAACATGAGAACAAAATAATGTAATTAGTATTAAAAAAATTGAAAAATTGTCGCCGAGCCCGTCTAGGAGCACCTAGGTTCGCCTACATCCGCCTAGGCGGCGCCTAACCGCCTGGCCGTTGAGCCCGCCAATGCTGCCTAGGAGCGCCTAAGGACGTCTAGGCTCGCGTAGGCGCCGCCTAGCCGCTTGGCCGATTTGTGCAAATCGGAGGCACCCGGGCACCACCTAGCGCCTAGGCGCCGCCTAGGCCGACTTTTAGAACAGTGGTAATAAGGGGCGGTGAATAGTAATACCCTATAACTTACCAAAAAAATAGGAGATGTTTGAACTATAAGGCCTCGTTTACTTTGAGGGACAGGACAAGATATGTTAATTAGTCCTGGAATATCAAGTGTTTACTTATCGGGATTTGGACAGGATTGAATGAGGTGGCGCACATGTGGCATACAACTTGCAATTGGAAATCAGGCTAATCAGCTATTACCCGATAAAATCCATCCCGCCTCCCCCATGTGATAATTTAATCCTAGACTTGCACCGACTATTTTACCCTCCATTTTAGAGTTGAGAAGACGAAAATACCCCCTTTTATTATTGTATTTACAGATTTCTACCATATAAAAAATGAAAAATGGGCCATTTGCCCTATTTTCTTACAACAGGAGGTTGAGCTTTGTCTGGAAGAAGCACAGTGACAACCGATTAAACCATAGCTTTTCATGAAATAAGAAACCTTCCGCGATTTCGCCGGCAGCCTGGTAACGTCAATGAAAAATCAGTCGAGGTGCCGTCGGACTTGGAGATTGACGGCGAAGAGATGGCCGTCCGGGTTAGTGGCCCACCTACCTGAACCAAAAATTCCGCTGTGGAGCTTGAATAACGTTTTCAAAAGATTAAACCTTGCAAACGAGGCAAATCAATTTTGTACAACTTCTAAAGCAGTTTTCAAAGCAACCCTATTCTCCTCTCGCAAAAAAACCCTATTCTCCTCTCGCATACTGTGAGAAATTCCGCTGTGGAGCTTGAATAACGTTTTCAAAACATTAAACCAAGCAAACTGCTTTAGAAGCTGTCTTTATGTGTGATGGGTTGCGGTCTCGTCGGTAATGAGAAAGAGGGGCACATGAATTTTGTACAGATGAGGAGTGAACACAAGTTTTATGAAATGGGGGTAAATTGGGCATATAACTTTTATCCTATGATTTTGTCCACAATAGTAAACAAAGGATAAATTTCAGACTTTTTAATCCCTTAATGTAAACAATAGACTAATTGCTGACGTTTAAAGTTAGTCTGATTATTTTGACTTATCCCATCACACAAAATAAACGAGGCCTAAGTGAAAGTTGAAATGAGCAAAAAAATTGCCTAAAATGGTGGCTTGCTACTCATAACTTTCACAAGAACTTCCAAATCTTGGGCCATTGCAAGTAAAACCCTTGGAAGCCTATAGCCGGCCATCACCACCAAAAACAAGGACACCAAAAAGAGGAGAGAGAAAGAAATGGGGGAAGAGAGATAAAATACTGGTTCTTTGAATTGAATACAAAATTCTCTCCCAATCTATTTAATTCAATCAATTCTTGTTGCTTCTGTGCCTTGCCTTCTTCAACCTCCATAAAAAAAGAGAACAATAATCTGAGATCTCATTCTGACACCAATCTTTAAAGATTTCATGCCCAAGAAAATCCCAAGACTCGATTTTTATTACTACTTGTTTTTATTGTGTTATATCCTATTTGCTTCTTTTGTTTTCATCCCCTCTGATCCAGGAACAAACTCTGTCACCATCAAATCTTAATGGGTTCTTACAGCTAAGGCTGTCATTGAAAAGTGACACAAAGACCATGGAAGGTCCACACACACTTAATCCAAGTTCAAGGTATGCATAGGTTAGACCCCTCCATATTCTCTGAACTAGACTAATAACTATTGGGTTTCTTGTTTTGAGAGAGAGAGAGAGAGACAGAGAGAGAGAGAGAGAGAGAGAGAGAGAGAGAGAGAGAGAGAGACTCAACAATTTTTTATTTTTTTTTGCCTTTTTACAATCTGGGTAAAAGGAAATCCTGTTTTTGCCCATACCCATTTGGTTCCTCTTATTTTATCTTGTGTTTTTTTTCTTTTGGCCCTGTTTTGTTTGGTTACACATATTAATGGTGTCTAGGCCTTGTAGTGCTGGTGGGTATATAGTTGTGAGAATTGGAGTTGTGGGTTTGGAACATAAACAAAAGCTGGAGTTGAGATTGGGTTTGATGAGCATATTATCTGCTGGATCCTTTGGATAGATTACACTATACAGGTCTGTTTTCTTTACAAAAAAAAAAGAAGAAAAGATAGAAAGAAAAGAAAAAAGGTAATATGGTTAAGCCCTGTTGGAGGCCTTCTGTGGAGGGTGATGGAAGTTGGAGGCGAGGAGGGGGAGACCCGAATGGTCGAGTTGACAGGCTTTGGTGGTATAAGGATCTAGGGCATCACACAAATGGTGAATTTTCAATGGCTGTTGTTCAAGCCAATGGGTTGATGGAGGATCAGAGCCAGCTCGAATCGGGCCCGTTGAGTTCTCTCGAGTCGGGACCTTGTGGCACTTTTGTCGGGGTTTATGATGGCCATGGTGGACCCGAAACTTCTCGATTTGTGAACGAAAAATTGTTTCCAAATCTCAAGAGTATGTCTTTCTTATCCGTATAATCGGGTAGTTTTTATCTTTATGAATCGTAGGGTCTCAACGTTGAATTATGAACGAGTTCTGTTTTGTTTATTTGCAGAAAAATGTTAAAGCTTATGGTCATTTTTTTTGTTTCGGTTTCGGTTTCGGTTTCTGAAAGAGTCGGAATATGCGTGTTGGCGAAAACTTGATATTTTTGCTGCAGAAAAACAAACAGTTTGTCGAGATTCAGTATTCAGAAGTCGGTATTGTCTGCGAGTATTAGCTGAAAATTAATGAAGACATAGGATTTGGTGGAGAAGCTAGAGAGTCTGATTTTTCTTTTGTGGATATTATACCAAAATTTGAAATAGAAGCACAATGTAACAAAACTAAATTACCCCTTCCTCTACATTTCAGTTTCGATTAAATGAAGTAGAAACATAAATTGTAGCTTACATTTTCTACCACTTGAATGTGCCTCTAGTTTATATAGTAAAAGAAAAAGAACCTTAGAATCACTTGTTTATTTAGTGATTGCAAAAACCTTCTCTACATAGCTTTCTAGTTCAAAACATGGGAGTAATCTGTTATTTATTTTCTCCCAGATTTTGCTTCCGAGCACCGAGAGATATCTCCAAACGTCATAAAGAAATCTTTCTTAGCAACCGAAGAGGAGTTTCTCTCTCTAGTCAGGCAGCAATGGTCCGTAAAGCCACAAATTGCTTCAGTCGGAACATGCTGTCTCGTAGGTGTAATATGTGACGGGTTACTATATATAGCCAATGCCGGGGACTCTCGAGTGGTATTAGGCAGGACAGATAAAGCCACTAGAGGAGTGAGTGCTATTCAGTTATCAGTCGAGCACAATGCAAATATCGAGTCGGTTAGGGATGAATTACGGAGTTTGCATCCCAATGATTCACAAATTGTGGTCTTAAAGCACAAAGTTTGGCGCGTAAAGGGTATTATACAGGTACATGATGAAGATTTGGTTTCATTTTTTTTTTTAATCAAGATGACTTTTTATAATATGCATTTGTTTCCTTTTCTCAAAATATGTCATTTTAGTTATTATTTATTATTTTATTATTATAGTCTTGAATTTGTGATACAAAAGGTGTCGAGATCTATTGGGGACGCCTATCTAAAGAAATCAGAGTTCAACCGAGAACCATTACTGGCCAAGTTCAGGCTAAACGAGCCCTTTAACAAGCCCATTCTAAGCCCGGAGCCATCGATGCTCGTGCACAAGCTCAACCCGAACGATCAGTTCCTCATATTTGCCTCAGATGGTTTGTGGGAGCATCTCAGCAATCAAGAGGCTGTTGATATCGTCAATAGCTATCCTCGTAACGTGAGTGTATATTTTTATTTTATTTCCCATTTGCTCTACACAATGGATTTTTTTTTATTATTATTATTTTTTTTTTTTTCATTTTTCTCATTTTTAAAAGCTTTCAAGGAAGGAAACTACACAAGTAGTCTGTATCTGCACAATAATCGTCTTTTCTTTTTTCGGGGGGCAGGGGATTGCTAGGAGGCTTGTTAAAGCCGCTCTTCGAGTGGCGGCTAAGAAGAGGGAAATGCGATATTCGGACCTCAAGAAAATCGACCGAGGCGTAAGGAGGCATTTTCATGATGATATCACTGTTGTGATTGTCTTCATAGATCAACCTTCTTCCTTGAGGAGAAGCTCTTCACATGGTTCTATTGTATCCATTAAGCCTCCTAATGTGCTGCCCCTGTAAATTTTAGCTCTGTAGTTTATTTTGTTAGTAGTGAAATTTTTGCCTTTTTTTTTTTT